GCCACACATGACATATTTTGAGGAAGATGGGATGGAGCAAGAGAAGGGTTCAGACCTAGCCCCAAGCCCAGGGTGGGTGTGTAGGAGCCCTAAGCGAATGGATGCAAGCTGTCCTGGTCTGAGTGCAGAGAATGGGGTGTTCGGGTTCTCCATTTGAGAACCACTGCCCAAACCTGAGACCCCTTTAAGGTTGCCCCTTAAAGTTTCCACACCCAGAAATTGGGCCAAAGAAGTTAAGCTGTTGGTTATTTCAATTCTGAATAAAAATGAAGGCATCTTCTCTGCCTCCTAAGACCTGGTCTGATCTTGGCTCCTTCATCACTAGAACCTTCCTGAGCAGTGGTCTGGGACCCCTCGCCTTCCTCCCTCCACCTGTGTTTCAGAGCCCTCCTAGTCAGCATGGGCTTCACCTTAATCCCCACGGCTATTCTGTCTTCTTCCTGGGCTTCACCTCAAGCCCCACTGCTATTCTCTCTTCTTCCTGGGCTTCACCTCAAGCCCTACTGCTATTCAACCCCCCTCTTCCTCTTCAGCTTCAAAATAGACTCCTGCATGTACCTTAATTAAACACAGGCCCACTGCAACCCCAGTACCTCAGGGACCAGGAGGGAAACTGTTTTCAACCATAAGGAAAACAAAGCAAGTACTGTGGTCAATGTCAGTGACCCTCTGCTTAGGGCAAATGTTGGAGTGTGTGACTGCAAAACTGGGACATCCACCCCCCACTACAGGGGGTGCCCCTACTCTGCTTCGGCCAGTTGGTGCTGTGTGAGAATGCCAACTCTTGTGATTTTTGTAAGAGAAGCCAGAAATGTGGAGTTTGGGGTGGAATCTGATTCCAATGTTGGCTCGATTGTTTAAAAATACAGCAGGACCAGTTTCAGCCCTCAAGCTACCAGTTTTTGACTTCTGCATCATCCATCCCCTCTTCCCTGGCCAGTGACATCCTCTCTACCCCGACAACCTCCTACCTCTCAGTCTTCCCTTCCCCAAATTACAGGATCACAATGGCCAAAACGTTTTTTGTTTGTTTGTTTTGAGACAGGGTCTTGCTCTGTTGCCCAGGCTGGAGTGTGATGGCGCGATCTCAGCTCACTGCAACCTCTACCTCCTGGGTTCATATAATTTTCCTGTTCCCAGCCTCCCAAGTAGCTGGGATTACAGGTGTCCACCACCATGCCCAGCCTTTTTTTTTTTTTTAAATAGAGACAAGGTTTCACCATGTTCACCAGGCTGGTTTCAAACTCCTGACCTCAAGTGATCTGCCCACCTCGGCCTCCAAAGTGCTAGGATTATAGGCGTGAGCCACCATGCCCAGCCTCATTTTTTGTATTTTTAGTAGAGACGAGGTTTCACTATGTTGGCCAGGCTGCTCTTGAACTCCTGACCTCAGGTGACGTGCCTGCCTCAGCCTCCCGAAGTGCTGGGATTACAGGCGTGAGCCACTGCGCCCAGCTCCCCAAACAGTTTAACCTATTGCCCAAGAGATTATCAAAGTGGAAGGAGGCAACTGTCCAAAGCAAGTGGGACAGCCCCTAGGGGTTAGACCACTGGCCTCAGTGTCCAAAGGCTCAAGTGCCTGTTGCTTCTGCTGCTTTACTTGCCTGTAAGGGGTGAACAGGGTTCTCAGTTCCTCTCCTGCACCAGGCCCCCAACACACTGACCTTTCCTAGAGGACCTTAGACCAGCACTGACCTCTCCAGTGGGCAGGCAAACAGCTTTTCATGGTGGTAGTGTCAGCAAGAATGTGTTGCCCAGTAGTGAAAGAACAGGCCGCAGGCCCCCAGGAGTAGTGGTGGAGCATCCATTGTGTCATCAGCCTGGGCTTTTCAGGTGACGCCTGTGACAGCTCTGCAGACTGCAGTTGTGTGATGTACACCCCTGAGTTTGGGGTCAGCTCTACCTTAGGTCCACTGCTGTCCTGCAGTACAGTAAGAGGGCCCAGTCCCCAGTCATTAATCTTGACATTGTCTCAGTCTCTTCCTAATTTCCAGTCCTAGAAGAGCTCGGCCATGATGTCGACTGGACACAGACCCCTCTGCAGAGTCAGAGGGGGCTAGATCCATCCCCTACAGCAATGCCCACACCAGGGTCCCATGAGGCGTGTGTCTTCTACACCATCCTCCCACAGGCAGGTGGTCTTACTCAGCACAGCAGGGCCACCCACCCTATGCCAGGGAGCTTTTAGGGAGACAGGCCCAAAGTTTAATAGAACTATGATAACTGGGAGTCCCCGGGGGGACACCCTGGGCTCCCCAGCTCATGGTGAGAAAGTGGGCTGTGGTCACGCACACAGATACAACTTCTCAGCAGCATCGTCCTTTACCCCAGGCAAAAGGGAATATGGCAGAAGTTTCCTAGTGCACACTGCCCTAAGGAAAACTCACCCTGCCCAAGACCAACCCTATCTCTTGTCCTGTCTCCAAAAACAAGCTGCCACATCATTTCCAAAGTGAGCGGACCCATTTCCCCATACCACACCCGTTCTTCAGTTGGGGAGACCTGGACGAAGCAGCCGAAAGACTGAGAACTGTTACG